AAAACAATGAATTCAATGAACAATTGAATTTCTTTTGTCAATCCAAATGTTTAAGCGGATAGGGGACGACGTCGGCAAAGATTTCCCCTTTTTTCCCCTTGAAAACTCGCTTTCCTGAGCAAAAGAATGAAAAAAACAGCGACCCTGACCCTTTTGATTGAGTTTAAGTTTAAGTTTAAGATGATAAAAGCTATTGTAACGTTTTTGATATACAAAAATTACCTAGGGATATTGTAAAGTCAAAAAAAAACAATGAATTGTTCAATTTCTTTTGTCAATCCAAATGTTTAAGCGGATAAGGGACGACGTCGGCAAAGATTTCCCCTTTTTTCCACCAGAAAACCCGCTTTCCTGAGCAAAAGAATGAAAAAACGGTGACCCTGACCGGTCCTTGCAGTTGATGAAATGAGAATTATGTTCATTTTTGTTAAGTGTTCAATATTTCAGCTTTAATCTACATATAATCTACTCGAAATTGTCGATTGTCGATTGCGACTAATGCCTAAAGGCTTTAGTTTAGATTTAATTTGGCTTAGCTTTCAAATTTCTTCAAATTTCTAATTTCTAATAAACTCTTCACCTTTCAATATTCAATCATTCAATTTTAAATGCTTACTATATTCTATATTATTATATTCGATAAATACTTTGTGTTTTTATTGCCGCAAACTAACACTTTTACTATCGCTTTGAAAGTTTAAAGTTAGCTTAAAGTTAGCTTAAAGTTAGCTTAAAGTTAGCTTAAAGTTAGCTTAAAGTTAGCTTAAAGTTAGCTTAAAGTTAGCTTAAAGTTAGTTTAAAGTTAGTTTAAAGTTAGCTTAAAGTTAGCTTAAAGTTTACTGGGGACCTTATGCAGAAAGCCTAAATTTCTCTCATTCCATTTTATCTCAAAAAGATCTTTCTGAATTTCAAAAAACAGGCATTTTCTTTACCGGTTTTCTTTGAAAAGATCTTTTTTTCTAGTTTTATTTGTTTTGCTATTTATTTACCCATCAAATTATCTCCAGACCTCGTTTCTTTGATCACTTCATCCTTCATCACATCACTCTTCATCACAAAAACTCATTTTTCTTTTCATTTCCTTTCTATTCCATTATTTCTTTTGATTATTTCATTCAATTCTTTATTTAATATTTACTATTGTAAATACAACTTTTCTATTGACACCAAAATGGGTTTCTTTTGAAGAAAGTGCTCAAACTGTCACATATGACAATAGCCCGCAGTTTTCAATTCACCAACCCAATATATTGACTATTTTAACGATCATTTGATGCAGAATGAAATTACGCATCGAATGACACCAAAAACAACTTAATAATATTCATGCGAAATGAAATATTGGTCAAAATACGGCTGAAAAAATGCCCGTACAGTAAGGCAGACAGAGAGACAGACAGAAAGACAGACAGATACCGTAACCCCTCCCGTCCCCCCCCCCTCCTTTTCCACCGTTTCATTTGTGAAAATTCGTCAGTTTGGCATTTCTTGCAAACCAGTTTTTGAATCGTTCTGAAAATTTGGATATAAGCTTGATTTTTGATTCTCTACAACTTTTCTATTGACACCAAAATGGGTTTTCTTTTGAAGAAAGTGCTCAAGCTGTCACATATGACAATAGCCCGCAGTTTTCAATTCACCAACCCAATATATAGGGATACTTTATTCAGAACCTAAAATCAAGTACATTAGATTCAAGTTGTACTTTGAAAATTTGTACCCAAGAGTTTTATGAAGAATATGAAGAATTCGAATCGGGTATTCGTATTTAAATAATAAATCTGAATCAAGGTTAAATAGATTGACATTAGCCTGATAGCTTGATTAGCTTGATTAGCCCATTAGCCTTGATTTGCGGAGAAGTCAATGTCCAATTTGAGGATTCGGAGCCGGCCAGCAAGCCAGCAAAAACAAATATTCAACAAAAACCCTCTCTAAATTTGTATTCAAGCTAAGAAATCGGAATCTATTGAAGAAAAAAAACGATATTCCAATTTTTCCAATCCTCAACAATTCATTTTTTCTTTTTTCTCATTTTACTTTCTCAAAAGCGATTCCCCCACATAATTTCTGACGATTTTTTAATTCAAAAACTGTAGAATATCAATGAAACATTAGAAAAAGAATGAAAAGAAATGAAAGAATAAAAAGAAACGAAAGAAAAAAAACACTTTTCTGAGTCATTCTTGAAAAAAATCTTTTATAATTTGATTGATTTTTTTGATTTTTTTGATTTCTTTTAAAGTTGACATTGAAATTGAAATTTTGATGACAAAATTCTCTCGGCAACGAACGATGATTCATCGTTGATTTATCGTTGATTCAACCTCAAAATCATCGCTACTTTTTGGCTCATTTGTCTCCAAAAATCTTTTGATATTATATTTTTATTGTGCTAAAGTCTTGTTACTTGTTTACCAAGTGTACTTTGAGCTCAGTGATGGTAAACACATCGTTTCTAGTGCACCCGTTTCTTAGAAAGCTTAGAAGTTCATCTAATTTAGCGCACTCGGGATTGGGTGATTTGTCTAGAGTCTAGCTCTTCACTGTCAAGTGAAGAGCTAGACTCTAGAGAACTAGAGAAACCCAAAAAGTGGCTGGAGTCAATTATTTAAAAGTTTGGAACTTTTTTTACATCAATATAATCTGTTTCAGAGATTACTGATGAAAAAAAGTAATTTCCTGAGTTCGTCTGGCCGACAATGGATCCGAACCAGGGACAAAGCCCAGGCGAACAGACCGACGCGCTAACCCACTATCCACTAGGCTATCAAGGCAAGGGGGTGTGCCAGCGGTAAAACGTTAACTAAGCTAGCTTAGCGAAATTTGATGAAACTTTATATTTCAAAAATGGCTGGCAAAAATGGCAAGTTTGAATGTTTTGAAATGCTCTTAACCAGCGAGTTTTTTTAGATCGTTACTAAAATCTAACTAAAGAATTCTCTGGTGAGGTTGGTATTGTCCTCAAAACATTCAGAATTCTCTGATGAGCCTTGTATTGTCCTCTTTCTCAACAATTGAACCCTCATTTCCTTCAATATCTTCCATGATCAAACTATGGGGAAAACACTTGTTTTCACTTTTTTTCTTTCTGAAAAATCGGAGAAAGCGTGGGGTCTCGTTGGGCAATTGATCCTCAAGAAAAAAGAAAATCCGGGAGAAAGAGGTTGAAGGAAAAAAAAAGAGATGAGTGAGTCGATCGGTGTTGGGACACGAGGAGGAGAAAAGTCTCGAGGCTGAACACACCAACTGTCGATCTCTCCAGTCCACTTCCCCTCATGAATCGAAGTCTCAACTTTCTTTTTTGCTTTCTTGCTTAAAACTTTTTTTTTTTTTTTTTTGAAAAAGTGATTCGACAAATCTTTTCTTTATCAACGTTTGTCTTTGTTTAAGTGTGGAGTGAATTGAATCAAGAGTATTTTCATTGATTCAAGAGTATTTGATGGCTTAGATTTGCTTTGATTTTATTATCTAAATCTTTGATCTCTTTTCCAGATTTATCAATTCATTCTATCTATCAAAACTCGCTTTCCTGAGCAAAAGAATGAAAAAAACAGCGACCCTGACCCTTTTGATTGAGTTTAAGTTTAAGTTTAAGATGATAAAAGTTATTGTAACGTTTTTGATATACAAAAATTACCGGGATAATCGACAGTGGATAATCGACAATTTCGAGTAGATTATATGTAGATCGAAGCTAAAATATTGAAAAGTTAACAACAATCATCTAGGGATTTTGTAAAGTTTTAATGTTAAAAGGTAAATGAAAAGAATGAATTATTCAATTTCTTTTTGTTAATCCAAATGTTTAAGCGGATAGGGGACGTCGTCGTCGGCAAAGATTTCCCCTTTCCACCTGAAAACTCGCTTCCTGAGCAAAAGAATGAAAAAAACAGCGACCCTGACCCTTTTGATTGAGTTTAAGTTTAAGTTTAAGATGATAAAAGTTATTGTAACATTTTTGATATACCAAAGTGTAAGAGTTTATTAGAAATTAGAAATTAGAAGAAATTAGAAAGTTAAGCCATACTAAATCTAAACTAAAGCCTGCAGGAGTGGACAATCGACAATTTCGAGTAGATTATATTATAGACGGCTTAGCTTTGCTTTCATTTTATTATCTAAATCTTTGATCTCTTTTCCAGATTTATCAATTCATTCTATCTATCATTTTAGCTTATTTTATTTTAAAAGATTCATTCTATTGATTGATTTATTCAATTCTAAGATTTCAGCTGCTTAGTAAGTTTTGTATTTGGGTTAAAACTGGTTTAAACTGGTTAAAACTGGTTTAGACTGGTTTAAACTGGTTTAGACTGGTTAAAACTGGTTAGAACTGGTTTAAACTGATTTAGACTGGTTTAGACTGGTTAAAACTGGTTTAAACTGGTTAAAACTGGTTTAAAACTGGATTAACTGGTTAAAACTGGTTTAAACTGGTTTAAACTGGTTTAAACTGTTTAAAACTGGTTAAAACTGGTTTAAAACTGATCAAAACTCGAGCAGGAGCTTAAACGTACACTATCTTTTATATTATAAAGATAGATTTCACGAATCCGAATCAAAAGATAGGTGTCACAAAGCTCAACATTTCTTTGACAGATTTACATTTTAGAATTCTCATTTAAAATTTTCATCATCTAAACATTCGAAGCCCTTAAGAGTTGCCGTTTTTAAATGAAATATGCTTTTGCTTTTGATAAATCTCCCCACATTCTCCCCACATTCAATCTCCCCACATTCTCCCCACATTCAATCTCTCCACATTTCATCGTCTAAATGACAAATCTTCGCGCCGATGACCGGGAACCTGAACCTTTTGCTAAATATGCTTTTGATTGCATCATTTCACTCATTTCTTTGTTCTTTTTGTTCAATTGGAATTTTTCATGCAATTTCATGGAATTTTTCATGTTTCCAGTTGTGAATCGAGTTGTGGATTGTTTCGTTTTCTTTGAGGGAGTTCTCCCTCTTCAATCTCCCCACATTTCATCGTCTAAATGACAAATCTTCACGCCGATGACCGGGAACCTGAACCGGTGAGTGAAATGAAGAAAAAAAAAATCAATAGCATACATTTATGCAGCCGAAATAAAGAAAAAGAATGCTAATAGATTCGCAAGAATGGTTTGTAGCGTTAAAAAAGGTTAAAAGATCAAGTTTTTTTAAAGAAATGATTCAATACTAGAGTTTTAAAGTTATATTTTTGTATTTTTGTATTTTTTATATCAAAAGTACTTCCTATACTATAATTCTAAATTCAAGAAATCCTTTGAATTTTCTATTTTCTTTGATAACAGCTGTTTGAGTAGAAAAGGATTCGGATTCGGAGAAAAAAAAGCTTGGAAATTTGACCCATAAACCCCTTCTTTCCAAGAAATTCTCCACGAAATTCAAGAAAGTTTTTACGAAGATGAAAAGTGATGTGCTTTTCAAGTAGCAAAATATCAATCAATAGCAAAAAAAGCAAAAAAAAAAAGCTAAATCAATAGCATTTTCAATATCCTTTTTATTAGTAAAATAATTGAAATTGTGCCTAGAAAATTGAAGGGAAATCGTGGAGATTCTTGATTTATTTAACGATTTATTTATTTATATTTGTCCTCAGGTCATCTCCTCACTTCAACCCGATGCTGAATGGAAGAATATTCAATTGAACACATTCACGCGATGGGTGAATAATCACTTGAAGAAAGTCCCCGACGAGATACACCATCTTGTGAGTTAGGGATTCTAGTTCGACTCTGGAAATCTGAGTCTTATCATTGTCTTATCATAAAAAATCCAACAAACAACACATAAACAAAGAAACAAAGAAACAAAGAAACAAAGAAACAAAGAAACAAAGAAACAATAAACAAAGAAACAACAAAGAAACAAACAAACAACAAACAAACAAACAAACAAACAAACAACAAACAAACAAACAAACAAACAAACAACCAACCAATCAACCAATTAGTTTCTTATAATAAATGATTAAAATAAACTCCGCCAAATAGATTCTCTGAACTACAGTACTTTTTAACATTAAATCTTATTTGCGTTTACAGAACAAAAGAGAATCCCTATATAAATGAATGTTCTTTGTGCGGCTTTGCAATCGCTCGCTGTCTATAGTTGTTGAAAACTAGATATGTTAGAAAAGTAATATTATTTCAGGAAAGTGATTTCTCTGACGGTCTCAAATTGATTAAATTGGTTGAAGTGTTATCACAGAGACATGTCGGTCGATACAGTGCCCAGGTGGGTGTCAAATTCATACAGTAATCTGAATCATTAGATCAGATTATTGCCTAGAGAGTTTACAGTAAGATACAGTGCTCCAGATGAATAGTGAGTAGGGTATTCAGATAAGTGAAAAACGAAAAGTCATCATTTGTTTTTAAAAGTTTCCAGGTGAAATTCCGTCATCAGAAGCTCGAGAACGTGTCAGTGGCGTTGAATTTTCTCCAAAACGATGAAGGAATAAAGATTGTGAATATTGGTGAGTTTTATGGATAGATCTGTAGAGGGGAGTTCTATAGATAGTTCTATAGAGGGAAGCTCTATAGATAGTTCTATAGATTCAATACTCAAATTCAGTACTTAACCATCTAAAGCACATCAAAATCCGTTCAGATTCTTCTCACATTGTCGACATGAACAAGAAATTGATCCTAGGATTGATTTGGACTCTCATCTTACACTATTCAATCTCAATTCATATGGAGGTTAGGAAAAATGCTGCTCATAGATTTGAAATCGAATTGCTCTTTTCAGGAAGATGAGCGACCAGCTGGTGAGCCAGACAAAACCCCGAAACAGCGATTGCTTCAATGGATTCGAAGGAAATTGCCTGACGATGTGCCAGTGACGAATTTCACTTATGATTGGAATGATGGCTTGGCGTTGGGTGGCTTGGTGAGTGGGATTTCAAATAAACATTTCGATCTTGAGCATTTAACCAAATAAATTCAGCTATTCCTATCAAGAATATTGCTTTAAACAAACTAGAAAGGCTGAATTTAGGCTATAGGCTGAAGGCTGAAGGCTGAAGGCTATAGGCGGGTGAAGGTGGAGGAGGCTGAAGGCTGAAGGCTATAGGCTGAAGGCTGAAGGCTGAAGGCTGAAGGCTGAAGGCTGAAGGCTATAGGCTGGAGGCTGAAGGTGAAGGGGGAGGGGGGGGGGGGGGGGGAGGGGGGGGGGAGGGGGGGGGGGATAGGCCACGGCTGAAGGCTATAGGCTGAATTTTGTAATTTAAATCAAGCTAGACTCGGTTGACTTTCTTGATTCTTGGATTTAAAATTTGACTTCAAACTCTAGGTGAACTCAATCTCGCCTGACTCTGTGTCAGATTGGCGAAACTGGGAACCAGATGAGGCGCTGGATAACACGCGAAGAGCCATGACTGCTGCTGCACAAGAACTCGGAGTGGCCCCTTTAATCACCCCAGAAGAATTAATCAATCCAAATGTTGACGAGAAATCTGTGATGACTTACTTGGCACAGTTTCCCCAGGTGAGACTCGATTTTTGATATAAAAAAAGCAGACAACAGCTTACTGTAGTACTTAGATCAGCGTCGTATTTTGTACTTTAAAATAAACGCATGCTTTCTGACATAAACAACTCACAAGTGTGCCAGAAAGCGTGCATTTAAGCAGGCACAAAGTACAAGTGTAAATCAAACTGTTTCCCGGATTTTTCAGGCTCTGAAAGAAAAAAGGCAATCGTCGATAGAGATCGAGGTAGTCCATTGCCAAAAATCTCCCCTCAAATAATCGTTTTCTCCCAAAAACCCTAACTAACATTGAATGGGAATTTCGTGGTGAATTGTAAATGGAAAAGTTTAGGTAAAACCACCGATGAGGAAGGGGAAATTGCATGGAGTTGAGGTGACAGCGATCGCTGGACGAGCCGCCGATTTTCATGTGATCATGCCAACAGATGAGCATAAACCAAAGGTTTGAACAAATGTTTCCAAGGTTCTTCGTTGGCAAAAGCAGGTCCTGCCCTGTTTTCTTATTGCTGACCCAAAAAATTCTCCAAAATCCAGCCTGGATCCAGAGGATCAAAAGCTAGATCCAGAAATCAATCAATCGGGCCAGTCAACCAGGCCAGATTATTACAGGCTACCTAGAGCTAAGCCAGAACAAAGCTATCAACCGGATCCTGGCCTAGCTTCTAGCTTTACAGACTATCTAATATCTAACAGACTAGCCAGAAAGCCAAAAATATCTAACAGACTAGCCAGCTCTTGAATCTGCCCTAGTTTACAGCTAGGTTAGAACTCTATGGGTTTTGCATAGCTAGATTAATTCTACAATGACTTGCAGCTCTCGATCCAAGACGAGCACGGTCAGGACATTCACTTCACTGTGAACAAGATCCCAGCCACGTGCAACTACAATGTCAAGTACACGCCTGAGAAAGTCGGAACGGCAAAGGTAACAGAAAGAATAGTTTAGTGACACAAAACTTCGATTAGATTTCCCTCTTCACCACATCGATTCTCAGCGGTGAGAGTGTGGCGAGTGATTCAGCTGAAGTTCGAGTGATTGAAGGAGCAAGGATGCTAGACTTTGGAGGATCCGGAAAGGTCAGCACAGCTCACACATCTAAAAAGTATATGCTTAGGTTGGTGAAGTGAAAACGTTTGAGATCGAGAATGCTGGGGATGGGCCGGTTGACGTTGTTGTCGTGGATTCAGACGGAAAAGAGCATAAATTACCAGTTGTTGGTGAGTTTTTAGACTTTGTGCGCAAAATACAGCTTTTCTGGTGCACTAAGAAGTCTTTTTTCTTGTTTCTGAGAAAATAAAGGAGTGACGTGGGAATGGTTGTGTACACGGAAAGGGGAAAGTACGCAAGCTAACAAATTCCGCCGTAAAAATGCATGCCGTATTTTCTGTAATAATAGTCGCCTAAATTCCTCGAAATCTCGAGAACCGCTTATCAGAACCTATCGATGAAAATAAGATGGGGAAATTGGGGGGTTTTTTTGGGGGTTGGGGTGTTGGGGTTTGGGGGAAATTTTTTGGGGGGGGGGGTATTTTTCCCCCCCCGGCCGGGGGGGGGGGGGGGGGGGGGGGGGGGGGGGGGGCCCGGGCCTCCGCCAAATCCCCAAAACCCTGGGGAACGGGCGGGGGCGGGGCGGAAAATGTAGCTGACGATGAGATCTTGACGATGATTAGAGTGTTGAGCTTCTGGGAAAACTTTGGAAGCCGTAAATAGTCATCAACTCGGCTCGCCGGGGTGCACTACTATTTGAGAAAATTCCGGTAAATAAAGAGATGATTAAATTGATTAAATTTTTGATTTGAATCAATGATTAAAGTTTATTCTTGAGGTTCAACGATTCCGGGTTGTTACATTGCTGATTATCCATTGGGAATGGCGGGAACACACTCGGTGAATGCTTTCCATCGTGGATCAGCGATTGTCGGCAGTCCTTTCCGATTAAAAGTGTTACCAAAAAGTGAGCAAAAATGTGCAATCATCTAAACAAAGCATTTATCTGAAAAATCTATTTCAAATCTCTTTACTTTCAGGCTCTTGGGAAACGTGGGGTCGAGGTTTGCAATCGGATGGAGTTTGCGTGGGAGATAAGGTTCACAAAAATTGTTTAAATTGTTATTTAAAGCTTATAGAAACATTTATAATACATTTAAGCGTTAAAATCTTATTTTACACAACTTATTGTACCTAAAAGAATTCATAAAACAGAGTTGAAAAGTTACAAAAGTCAAATCTCATTAGAAAATTCTATAAATCTATAAATCTAAAAGTTGAATTGAATTTTTAATTTGTTGAATTTTTACCATAGCTTGTAGATAAATAGATAGAGTAGACAGGTATAAAATAAAGCTATCGTAAATAGTTAGCTGAATAGTTTATAGGAATACGTACCGTAAATACTGTAATTGGACCCCACCCCGATAATGACGGTGTGGAGTGTTGCGTAGTCTAGCTTTGAACGCGGTTTTCTCGACACTGGTTTATGCTACAATGCTCGTTTAAATATCAAAAAATAGCCCTGAATTTCAGCTATTTTTTTGATACCAAAGACGCATTTTTTGAAATTATGGGCGCTTTGAAAAAAGCTTTGATTAACAAAATACTAAAAAACTTTTGCGACTACGCGACTGTACGAGGGCGGTGGGGTACTATTACAGTATTTACGGTATATTAAATAGTTAGCTGAATAGTTTATATCTAAAGGTATTTAGGCTCCAATCTACGTTCAACCGTCGTCTTCGGATTCAAGCGATGACATCAATAAAGCACCGATCAGCGTCGAAGTGGTAGATGGTGAGGAAATTCGTGAATAATTAAATAATAATATAACTAATACTTAGAGAAATCTTATATGAATATATTTCTTTTGAATAAAAATAAAAATCTAGGTCACAGTCGAAAAGTTGCGGTGACACGGACGATTTCAAATGGTCGAGCGAAATTCGAGTACACCCCGACAACTGAAGGAGTCTATCGGGTACGGTAAAATTAGATAAAATAAATAATTCAATAGATAATAATAGATTATCAATAGATTAAATAAATAATTCAATAGATTAAATAGATAATAGGTAAAAGAAAATGTTAATAAGTTCCGGTAATAGCTTAATAGCTTAATAGCTAATAGCTAATAGCTTAATAGCTTAATATCTTTATTTTAGGTTCAAGTGCTGAATGCGGGTGAACCAATCGGTCAAACTCCGTACGAGGTCTCTGTCAGTCCAACTTCGAAATCTCCAGTGCGCGCGTTCGGACCCGGTTTAGAAGGTGGAATTGCGCAACAACCGAATCTCTTCTATGTGAATACACACGGCGATAGTGATGCTTTGGGTGAGGCTAGCTAAAACATCTAATACATTTCCTACAGTAGTTTCAAGATATCGTTAAACTTTTCAGCTTTCACCATCGAAGGACCGAGCAAAACGGCGATCGAGTGCGCTGATCGAGGACAGGGACAAGCGCTTGTCGAGTATACGGTGAGGATTTTAAAATTCTATTACATTCTATTGAGGGTCTATTACAGTAAAACAAAACAGCAATTTTATAATATGCTTAATTTTTCAGCCAAAAGAAAGTGGTGTCTACAAGATCAACATCCTCTCCAAAGGCGAGCACATTCGCGACAGTCCTTTCGTCGTCTGGGTATGATAGTTTTTAAATATTACTGCCTACTGTAGCCAGCCTAATGTAGCCAGCCTATTGTAGCCAGCCTATTGTAGCCAGTCTATTCTAGCCAGTCTACTTTAGCCAGCCTACTTTAGCCAGCCTACTTTAGCCAGCCTACTCTAGCCAGCCTACTCTAGCCAATTTTGAAGTCATATTTCAATGCTTCAGTGTCCTTGATTTATCAAATCCATAATAAAGATAATGTTAAACAGATAATTCTGTTATCTTTTCTAGGTTGACCCAGCGAACCAATCGATTCGACCATCAGCTGTTCGAGTGACGGGACTCGAGACGAAAAAAGCGACAAAAGGAGAGAAGACAACTTTCCGGATTGACACGAAAAATGCTGGTGGTAAGTGGGGGAAATTATTATTATTATCATTAAAAATACCCCGTGTTGGTATGGGACAGTTTGTCACATCAGCGAGCAGACGAAGTTGAGATCGATCAAGTTGAACGTGGAAGAATTACAAAATTAGTTTAACCAGCTGGTGTCTCTTGGCCGCCGTTTAAGCCCAAAATTGGTTATTTCTATAAAAAATGGATTGTCGATGAAGATCACGAGAAGACAAACGCCGGAAATGGCTGAATCAATGGAAATCTACTTGCAGGATCGTTGACTCGTGGAAAGCTTTACCAAGGAATCGCATCGAGAAGTCAGACTTGAGGAGTTTCGTGATCGCTGAGAACACAAGCAACTTGAATTCTTTGCGAACATTTGGGAGATCTCGATTGGAACAACGTTGATGACGTGATTCAAGATGTTGAGTATTCAAGATGTTGAGTATTCAAGAGAAAGTCAAGAGAAAAAAGACAATTCAGAAGAAACTGTAGATGAAACATCACAAAAAGGAAATTATTTCAAGATTTCAAGCTGGAAACAATGAAGTATGTAAGTGACAAACTTCGCCAGCAAGAAATTTGGTTGGATCCATCAAAAGGATCAATTCATGTAGGAAGAATCAAGCTAATCAAGCTAAAAGAAGGTGGATATTCGACGTCGATTAAGCTAGAGAATAAGTGAGCATTGAAAGGCGAAGCTCAAGATTTCTCGACGTTTTTTTTCGAAAACAAGTGCTCAAGATTAGATTCAATGATTGAATGATGTCGATGGACTTGAAGATGATCAGATTTGATGTTTCGGCAAAGATGAACCCATTCCAATCGGATCATTAAAGCTTTCAAATGCACGAATTGATCAATTAAGTGCTGAGTTGATTGATCAAATTTGATTTGAATGAAACAATGAATTTGTCGATAGTTTTGTTTGAATTTTAAATTTATCCATGAAAATAGAAATCTCTATTTGAGTTTTTGATGATACACATAAAGTAAACAAAAGACTGGTGAAAAGAAAACAAAAAATAGAAGACATAAAGTAAATAGGAACCAGAAAATCAAAGATTAGATCTTGATATGAACTTATAAATGCCACGAATCACAAGTCTTTCCACTCAAATTCCACCTCGATCTTATTTTGAACTTCAAAACCTATCACTCTTTAGCCGATCTTCTTCCCCAAGTGAGTGTGGTCGATGGAAAGTACGGACAAATCATTCCATCAATGCGAGAGGTGAATCCAGGGTTGTACGAGTGTTCGTTCACGCCGAAAGACACTGGGGCACACTTTGTGAATATTGGAGTGAATGGGGTAGCCGTACCAGGAGCACCTTTCCCAGTGAGTTGACTTTGAGTTTCAATTTTAACACTAGCAGCAACTAGACAATCATTGCTGTAACAAGCACAAGAGCACTATCGCCTAATTAAATCTTTTAGCTAAACGTTGAGGAGAAAATTGATGCATCGAAGTTGAACATTTTCGGGCCAGGGAGTGGAAGGACCGGTGGTCAGCCAACAACCCACTCATTTCACTATTGACGCTAAACAGGCTGGACCAGGCGCTGTTGAGGTAAGTGATTATAGATCTAAGCCAGCCTAGGCTATCTGGGCAACTACCGTAAATACTGTAATTGGACCCCACCGCCCATAATGACGGTGCGGAGTGTTGCGTAGTCTAGCTTTGAACGAGTTTTTCTCGACACTGGTTTATGCTATAATGCTCGTTTAGGTATCAAAAAATAGCTGAAATTCAGGGCTATTTTTGATATTTAAACGAGCATTGTAGCTTAAACGAGTGTCGAGAAAAACGCACTCAAAGCTAGACTACGCAACACCCGCACCGTCATTGTCTTTGGTATCAAAAATAGCCCTGAATTTCAGCTATTTTTTGATACCAAAGACGCATTTTTGAAAGTACGGGCGCTTTGAAAAAAGCTTTGATTAACAAAATACTAAAAAACTTTTGCGACTACGCGACTGTACGGGCGGGGGGTGGGGATACTATTACAGTATTTACGGTATATATAAAAGCTAAACTTTTTCTAGGTAGCTCTTGCGGATCGCGACGGTCGAGCGGTGGACATTGACGTACTCGACAATCAAGACGGATCATTCACTGTCAAGTACACTGCACCAAGACCAGGCGCATATCAGGTAGACTTTTAAAGTTCGATAATGCTAGAGAATAAGTTGAAAGAAGAAAGCATTTCATATCAGTTCATTTCAGTTCATCTATCTTTAATTTTAGTTAAACGTTGTGTTCGCTGGTGTTGACGGTCCACCGATTGAGATCAATGTGAAACCGCATGTGGATCGAGGTGGAATTCGAGTGGAAGGACTTGAGAATGGTTGGTTTTTCAATTGCATGAGTATTTTGACATTGACAATGCAAGATTTTTGTTTATTTGTTTTACTAAAAGCATCAATGTTCATTCAAATGTTGAAGAAACGTTAACATTAGCATTGCGCGTTTTTTCAAAGCCATTTTTCTGGCTTTTGGCGATTGTGAGCTCTGGTTTTTTTGTTTTTAAAACTTGCCTGGTATGTTGTTTTATTTCGTTTTTCGTTTCTCTAGTATTTCTAAGTGTTTTGTTATGGATTGCTGTTCTCATTCATCTATTTTTCTTTTAATCATTGACTTTTAATCATCATTGACTTTAGCCATTGTGACAGTGAACTGCGAGAAAGAGGTGCACGTGTTCACGTCGGATGGAGAGAATACAAGGATTTTGATTACAAGTCCATCAGGGCGAGTGGTCGAGGCGTTGATCGAGTCGACACCAACGGGTTTCCGAGTGCTGTTTACACCGTCGGAGATTGGGGATTACTCGATTTCGGTCACATACGAGGATCTTGCCATTGAAACAAGTCCTTTCTTGCTTCATTCAGTGCCCGAAGCTGGCGCGAATGCTTCAGGTGAGTCTTGATTGACTTTCTGACAGTAGTACGAACTACTAAGTACAGTCATCTTTCCTTTAGAAGCTGAATACGTGGTGTCTCGTTCCGGTCCACCTCGAGCTGACCTTGTGCGTGTCTCGGGGCCAGGACTAGGTCCTGTGATTGCCACTCGATCCACTCATGTCCACATCGATGCATCAAGAGCTGGCTTTGGGAATATCGATCTTTTCGTTGATGGACCAACACGGACACCAATCCATTGTGTCGACAATCATGATGGCACTTGCAGTATGTACTATGTGCCAAGGATTCCCGGGATGTACTGGCTGAGGGTGATGTTTGAAGAACAACACGTCCCCGGAAGCCCCTTTCAAGTAAATTAAGAAATAAGTTGCATTAAACATTCATCTTATAGTTAATGCTTTATTCTTAAATTCTTGTTCTTTAGGTAGTAGCCTGTGCACCGATGTTGTCATCTCCAAAAATGATCGCCGATCGCGACAAGACGGCTTCACCATTCACATCGCTTTCCTCCGGTTCATCAACTCCACAACAATGCATATAAAGATTTTAAAGTTTAAAAGCTTTCAAATTAATTGATTTTCTCAAATCAGGGTTTCGTTTTTATAAATTATCCTCAAAAAAATTTTGTTTTTTTTTCTTTTCTCAATTTGTGTACATAATTTTTTGATGTGAAAATACGGGAATCTCTCAGAAATATTGGAATAAATGTTTTACAAAAATGCACTGATTTATCAGCTCAATCTAGGAGATCAAAGCTTACAAAATATCAAGAAGCTCAAACCAACATTTAGCTTATTCTTGGTTTAGTCCTTACAGAGCTCATTGACTTGCCTGCTCTATGAAAACGAGATTCACATAGAATCAGACTTAAAAATCAGGCAATCAGACTCCTATCTCTGCTTGAATTTAAATGTATTCAGGAGATTAAAGCTTACAAAATATCAAGAAGCTCAAGCCAACATAGATTTATAAAATATTCCTGAATCAGTCTATTTATCTATTAAAATTGTTTAATTTTCAGCTGATGTTCTCACCGGTTATTTGGCAAAAGTTAAAGTTGATACGGGAAAGACTGAAGCGCAGACAAAAGGATTGCAATTCATTGCGACATTGCCAAATGAGAAACGAGTGTTGATTCCGTGTGAGAAACTCAATGGAAAGTATGAGGCACAATTCATCGCTAATGATATTGGAGAGACGAAACTTGAGGTATCTTAGTGAAATTTGTGCTCGAGAAATGGAAACAAATGGGAACTTTTATTTTGGCGAAAGAATTGAGAATTCAAGTGTGCTAGAAACAAATGAAAACTTAAATGAAAGAATTGAGTGTGCCTGAAAAGGGTTTGTAGTAAACTCGATGAAGTACTCTAGTCATTAAACTCTTCAATACTCTTATCGTTTCTATTCTTTAGTTGCTTTTTGACGAGATTCCGATTGAAGAGGCGTTTCTTCGTGTACATCAAGGACAAGATGCGTCAAAGTGTTGTGCAAATGGACCTGGATTGGAAAAAGCGATTGTCGGAGAGAAGGCCACGTTTCAAATTGATACACAGGTTTGTAGAAGTGGGGAAAAGATGTTTTGCAAGTAAAAGATAACAAAAGGTTTTCTGTTGAGCTCTGTAGTTGGTTGGACGGTAGTACTACTTCTTCTAAAGTCTTCTAGGTAACTTCTAAAGTCTCAAAGCTCTTCTCAAGCTCTTCTCAAGTCTAGTGAACATCATGATAGAACACAAAAGTATTTCATAAACGATTTTAGGGCGCAGGCGATGGTGCACTCGCGTTGGAGATCAGCGGCCCAATGGAAGCAGAGACGCAAGTAACAGATTTCCAGAATGGATCGTGCAAAGTCGATTACATCACGAAAGAACCCGGCGCTTATCAAATCGCGATCTTGTATGGAGAGGAGAAAAAGCATATACCAGGTTAGGTAGATCAAACTGAATTGATTTCTTGATCAATTTAGGCTCACCCTTTATGGCATTCGCTGACTACAAGAAAGACAATAGTAAGATCAAGGTTGAGCTGCCAGACAATGGAAAGGTGAAGATATGAAGATGAACAAAAACAAAATCAAAATCGAAACTTTAGCATCGTCTTGGCGCGACAAGTGCAATTGTGGTTGATGCCTCAAAAACAGCTGCCGGAGAGGTGACAGCAAGATTTCCACCAGGTAGGAGAAAGGAAAAAGATAAAGATGGATCTATCAGATCTGCTAATAACTGCTAAATAACTAACTTTAGATCAAAACCAACCCAGTGTCGTGAGTCTGAGCAGTCGTCGGGGTGTAAATGTGGTGGAAATTGAACCACACGGGAAACCGGGTGACATCATTCCATTAGAGATTTCATATGATGGAGAACCATTGAAAGAAAGGTTAGAAGAGTATTTTAGAAGAATATTTTAGAAGAATATTTAACTCAATCTAAAACCGTAGAGTTTTCTGATTGTAAAATCTTACTTTTTAGCCCATTCTTGATACACTTGGTCGCCTCTTGTGAGCCACAAAAAGCACATTTGGAAGCAACTAGAGATGGAAGTGTTGTCTCTGCTGGATCAGATGCCTATCTACAATTGAATACGAATGATTGTGGTCAAGTGAAAAAAGTTGCGACTGCAATCACTGTACGTTTTTACATTTTAAGTAGAGCGGAAGATCACGGTTCTGAAGAGCCATTTCCTTCGCTTCTTCCCCTTTCTTCTCTTCTTCCTTTCTTCCCTTCTTCCCTTCTTCCCTTCTTCCCTTCTTCCCTTCTTCCCCTTGACTTTCCCTCTTTCTCTTGACAAGCTATCGGATAGCTCAGTGGTTAGAGCAATTGGAAAGCAGAAGGTCAAGGGTTTAATTCCTTCACTTTTTGATTCCAGGGACCTGATGGTCACTCTCGTCATTGTACAATCGAAGAAATTGGTGATCGGCTTCATTCAATCCATTTCCCCACCGATCTAGCCGGAGTTTATGCAGTGGATGCACTTGTGAATGGGGAAAAGATATCGGAAAGACCGTTGAGAATACACGCGAGACCTGTGGGCAATGTAGAGAATGCGAGAGTGAAGGGTTCGTTGAAGAAAGTATTCTAATATAGTTTAGTTTGTTTTGTCACTTTAGCCGATTCGAACTAGCCATAGTGTACCTCTAAACTAGTTCATTTTAGTGTCAAATTTCGAAAACTTCTCTAATCTTGCTTACTTTATCCAATCTAGTACTGGAGTAGGAGTCTATTGGATTACGAGTACGCTGGAGTACGGCGAAAAACTGTAGATATCTATCTTTTGATATCTTTTGTGAACCCTAGAATCACAGTAGACAAACTAAAACGAAAATTACTAATAGGTTGATGCATAAGTGTTTTTGTTCCTTTTCGTCTGCCGTTTCAAGCCAACAAATGCACGAATTAAACTACGGTTGATTTCATTAGAAAAACCAATTATTTTTCTGCAAAATAACATTAAAACGGGTTTAAAAATATTTAATGCCTGGATTTTCTTGAGAGTATGAAGTCGGGTAGTCAAAGAGGGCTAACTCGATGATGCGGTTTAGACACCTTAGCTAAAGAAAACCTATCTTCGTGTCAATAGATAAAAGATAGAGAAAAAAACGTTTGATATTTCGCCAAAATTTCAGAGAAATTCATTCAGCCAATTTTTCCGTAGAGTTTTTTATAGATTTTTACGAAAAAGGCGTTTTTCACTCTCGAATTTGCTTGAAAGTGAACCGAAATTCATTTAAAAAGATGCAAATTGAACAAAAAAACACTTTTTTTATAGAGCAAACTATAGATTAATTGGTGAATTTGTTACTTTTTAACAGAAGTACGAAAAAAACGAAAAGACTTATGCATCAACCTAATAGTTCTAGAAAGTTCTAGAAAGCTTTCAAGGATTAGTGAAGCTGGAAAATTCTAGCTACTGTACTAAACATTGCTTATTATAGTGCGTCCAATTGATGATGAATGGTTGTTGGGTGAGGATAAGTTCCTAATAATCGAGCGAGATGAAGACGAGCTTGAGGCTCATCTCTCACTTCTCAAATCTCATCCAGAAGCGCTTATGGCCGAGATCATTCAGAAGAGAGTTGACGGGAAAATTCAGGTCGAAAATAAATCCTACTATTGGGTTGGTGCATTGAAAATTGCGGGACTTTGAACTAAGATTTATACAACATAAAACCCATAAATTCATTCCAAATAATTTCCATTATTATTGAAGACTTCTGCCATCGTCTTGCTATCCAGCGACTCCCATTACTCCCTCCATATCCAAGAAAACGCAGAGCATAAACTTCTTCTGGTGCAAATCAGGCTTAGGGTCACTTTCGGGTTTCTCGCCTGGCCCCACCCATTGCCGGTTCCTCCGAAAGTTCACAGATAAAACCCATTTCTCATCTCCTATCACAATTCGAGGAAGAAAAGATTTCCTTTTGTATTGTGAGAGATGGACGGCACTGATCGAGGCGCACTGCCACTTCTGGGGGGTCAGTGAGGTCATGGGGCACCCAAGCCCCAAGTTTCGATTTAAATCCAATGGTATGAAGATGCCTTAGCACTGTAGCATGATCAACCCCTAACTCTTCTCCCAATTCACGCGATGACATCCGATGGTCGTTGGTAATAAGTTCGAGTAATTTGGAGTCATCCAATTGGGGTGCCACTCCACGGCTCTCTGCATCTTTCAAAGATTTATTCCCAAAACAAAACTTGGCAAACCATACTTGACACGTTCTTTCGGAAGGTGAGTCCCATATATCTTTTTAATATTAGCAGCTGCCAAGCCTGCACTGTGCTCTTGTAGGAACTCAAAGTTCAAACTCAAGAACTCATGAACTCATGAAGCATGACATGACGAATATGTCTTGGTGGCAGATTGTCGAGTGCAATAGAAGAAGTGAAGAAAAATACTAAAAAATAAAAAGCTGGAAGGATAATTTTTCGCAATAATTAGAGGGAAATGTTGAAGTAAACAAAAAAGCTTTCTATGTTGTTGTTTTCTTTATCTGCGAGTCGCAATAAGCCGCGGTCGCAGGTACCCCAGCGCAATAGCTTTAGGCCCTAATGCCGCAGTCGCAATAGCCGCAGTCGCAATAGCCGCAGTCGCAATAGCCGCAGTCGCAATAGCCGCAGTCGCAATGGCCGCAGTCGCAATGGCCGCAGTCGCAATGGCCGCAGTCGCAATGGCCGCAGTCGCAATAGTTTTCAATGCACCAACTCAATATTATCTTTTTATTAGTAAATATTATGTAGCATTTGTATAAAAATCGAATTATCAATATATTTTTCAGGACCACGTTCGTTTGCGTGCACTTGAAGCCGGGAAACAGAGTGTGAATGTCGTTTATGGCGGTGATTTGTTGCCCGATGGAACTGTGACTTTTGAGGTAAGGTTTTCATTTAAAAAATTAACAAGAACAAACAAATTTATTAGCTTTCTAAACTTATCGTAGACTTTCCTGCTTAAAATTGAAAACACACATTTTCTAGTGCACTGAATTTTTCAGATTTCTTTCTAAATGAGAAAATGAAGGGATTTAATGAAATGAAGTGCATTAGAAAATTTGTGTTTCGAATTTTAAACTTCAAAGTTTACTTTTTTATTCGTTTTCAAGAAGAATTGGAAATGAAATCGATGAAACGAAAGCATTTTAAAAGCAACGAAAGCATGTTTTAATTTCTCTTTTCATTTCTCATTTTTCTCCACAAATCTCTCAATCTTTTTTCTCAAAAGGAAAGCTGAAAGAGAGGCAGTATTGACGTTTTTCATTGGACCAACTTCCCCCCTTTTTCTCCCTTCTTTTGTCAAACATTTCTATTTCTATTCTCTTTTTCATTTCTATTCTCTTTTCTATTTCTTTTCCTACCTTTCTATTTCTGTTCTCTTTTCCATTTCCATTTCTATTCTCCCTTTTCCTACCTAGCTTTCCTTTCAAATATTTATCTTTCTACTTTTCCATTCTCCAAAAAGCTAATGATTTTTATTTCTATTCTTTTCCATTTCCATTTCTATTCTCTTTTCCTTTTTCCTACCTAGCTTTCCTTTCAAATATTTATCTTTCTACTTTTCCATTCTCCAAAAAAGCTAATGATCGTTTTTGTATCTAATTTTCTATAACAACATTTAAAAAAACTTTAAGAACAACCTTCAACTTTAAAAAAAACAACCTTCAACTATATTTAATACTGCAAAGAAGTACTTGTACTAAAACTAAAACTAAAACTAGTACTAAACTAGTACTAAAACGGCTCTTGATCGAAATCCGAGCATTTTGAATGAATAGCTAAGCTTTGAAAGGTCTATAACTTTATCCAGAGATAATATTATTGTTAACTTTTTCTATCATTGTATAGAAGAAATTTCAGGCTTTCAAATAATATCAAATAAAGCATGATTGGTTTATCGATTCTCGTGAAAACCAAGCAGTACAGCATCCGAGTTGAAACCGTTTTCGATTTCGATCTGCCGTATTGCTTCATTTTCCTGGACTCGACTTTCCAATCAAAGTGTATTTGGTGTCATTTGAAAGCCTAAAATCTCCTCTATAAAATGCTATAAAAAAAGTTAACAATATTATAATCTCTAGACGAAGTTATAGACCATCAAACCATTGCTATTCATTGAAAATGCTCAAATTTCGTTTTTTTGCGTTATAATGTGCAAATAGAAGAAAAATTGTAGCAATTTTTTTAAATGCACTCAAAAAAAAAGTGCCATTTTTCTATCTATGCTTGTTATTTTCAATTCTCTCTCCCAACAATTTTCTCACCAAGGTCGATCTCTCGGGATTCGCTAAAACTTTCGCCGATTTTTCATTTTTTTTTGACAATTATTGACATTTATTGACAACACAGTGACAAATTGGAATTAAGTGCATTTTAATCGTTTTTTTTAATCTGTTTTTCGCACTCAGGCGTTCCTATTTGCGCAGATCACAACCTGCTTCCACATTTCTCTATCCCTTGCTATTGTCATCATATGGCATCCTTATGTCCCGTGATTAGATCTCTCGGCCTTTGCTTGATCCCTCGATGCCGGAAGAGAGCAGGGAGGCCGTGCGGGGGACTGAGGCAGAAGTGTAGTTGTCGTAGCCGATGATACTCCGATGGCCGGGCTGGGGCGCTCGGAGGGGAACCCACAAAAGTCGAAACCACGACTATCCCGCGCCGACGTTGCTTAACTTGGCAGATCGGAGGGGATAGACCGCAGGCCCTTCCTCTTCTAGGCCCCTTTGTAAAATTTTGAAACTTTTTCTAACTTTTTCTAACATTTGAACATTCAGATGTTGAGATTTTGGTTTTTTAAACATTTTTTTGACAAAACATCTCTCAAAATATCATTTCTTTAGCTTAAAAAACAATTTTAAGTTTTTTTAAGTTTACTATAGTTCAATAGATTGAATATTTATTGTATTTGTTTTTAGCTGAATATCCATTATTCTGAATATGCTTTTTCAGGCGGTTACCCAATTGAGTCGTGCCGTCATTTCACCGCAAACCGGCAAAGAAAACATCGATCAGATTGAGGTCATTTCGAATAAAACTACATAAATAGACTTTAATAATATAAATAATATATAATTTGGTTTTAATTTTAAGCTCGATCGTCAATCCGAACTTCAAACAGAGGCTCAAAAAAGGGAGCCGTTTTTGTCGAATTCCTCGGAAAAGTACTCGTTTTTGAGGTATTTGAAAGAAAAGTAAATGATATTTTAAAGCTCTAATATTCAAAAATTGATTAGTTGAATAGTGTCGAGTGTCCAAATGTTCAAATATACTACAGTAATCTATAAAATCTCTAAAGAATTCCTCGGAAAAGTACTCGTTTTTAAGGTATTTGAAAGAGAAGTAAATGATATTTTAAAGTTCTAATCTTCACAAATTGAATAGTTGAATAGTGCCGAGTGCAGTTGAAATGTCTACTGTCTTTAAATGTCTAAATATTCTACAGTAATCTATAAAATCTCTAAAGAAAATAAAGAAATCAATATTGGAATGTCAAAAAGAAAAAATGTCAAGTTTGACACTTTTAAATTCAATAATCAAGCCCAAGCTACAGTAACCCAAAAAAGTAAAGCGAAATTTGAATCCAGCAAAGATTTACGTATAAATTCCTCAATTTCCATTTAAAAGCCGGCACTTGATGGCCGAATGGCTAGCTGTTTTGGTCAACGTTCCAGAGATCAACGGTTCGATTCCGATTACGAAAAATGGGACTTTATTCACGAGAATAAATATCTATATGATTTATATATCTATTTAAATATGTTATTTATATTATTTATTGATATTTATAACTTTTCTGTTTTTCAGCGAACAACGAGCGCTGCGCGGTGACCTCCCGCCATCACCCTCAAAAGTCGGTTTTGAGTGTTTTGACAAAAACAAATTTCTATTTTACGAAGATAAATCTATATATTTAATCTATATATTAAATTATATGCAAATCTATCTAAATATATTATTATAAGGGTTTTTAAATCCTAGATTTTAGCTAGCTTCGATCAGACGAGCCTCATCCACTTCGAATCAGGGAAGAGACAGCGCCATCGAGGCCAACGAGAGAAGGTTGAGGCTTTAAAATAGCCTCAACTGGTTGAGAATAGCCTCAACTGGTTGAGAATAGCCTCAACTGGTTGAGAATAGCCTCAACTGGTTGAGAATAGCTTCAACTGGTTGAGAATAGCTTCAACTGGTTGAGGCTTTTCAATTCAAATTTGAAATAACTAAACTTTTTAGATATTACGGCTTATCTGAGCAATCACCTGAGCTGAAAGAGCGCGAGTTTAACTTCAATTTCGACAAAGCGCAAATCAACAGCGATCTTTTGAAAGCTCAGGTGGGTACTTTGTACTCATGGAAACGCAAGTTCTCTGCTTTCCTATTATGAAAAACAATAAAGAGCTTAGTGTGCCAGAAAGGGTGCGTTTCTGAGCTCTATAATTGGCTATAAACCAATGACGATTCCAGGTATCAACACCAATGGGAATGAGAGACGAGGCTCAAATTATCGACAACCATGACGGTAAAACAGAAACCATTAAACAACCATTAGTACTTAAAATTCATATTCATAATGCTCATAATCGATTGTGCAATGATTTCAAGATGATCAATGATCAAATTCCAGGCACAGTTCTCGTCAAATACGCTCCGAAAACCCCGGGACCACACGAGTTAACCATTCTGCACGATGGAGCTATTTTGCAGGTAATTCTTTTTCAAACTCGAAGCTTTTATGGTCTCCATTCTCGCTCTAGGGAACTCCAATCAAATTCTTTGTTGACTCTTTCGATTCGGGACATGCCACCGTTTATGGACCCGGTTTACAACAAGCGATTGTTGGAGAGTCGGCTCAGTTCACCGTCTCAGCAAAGGTCAATCAAAAAAAAGCTCTATCTTTTAGTCTGAAAAAGTTTCTGTTGCTCATTTTCCGTTCTACACCTATTGCCAATCAAACTGACAAATGAAAAAGCCTTTAGTGCATAGGAAAATGCATAGGAATACGTACCGTAAATACTGTAATTGGACCCCACCCCGATAATGACGGTGTGGAGTGTTGCGTAGTCTAGCTTTGAACGCGGTTTTCTCGACACTGGTATATGCTACAATGTTCGTTTAGGTATCAAAAGATAGCTGAAATTCAGGGCTATTTTTTGATACCAAAGACGCATTTTTGAAAGTACGAGCGCTTTGAAAAAAATGAAATACTGAAAAACTTTTGCGACTACGCGTCTGTACGAGGGCAGTGGGGTACTATTACAGTATTTACGGTAGTTATATCTATACTTTTCAGGGATCACATGCAAAAGAGCTCTCTGTGAGCATCGAAGGAGCCGCTCAAGCGAATATCAAGATTCACGATAATAAAGTACTGTGAATATCTTCTATTTTACTTTATGTAGATTAAATTTAAGTAAAACTTGTAATTTAAGGATGGCACATGTTCGGTCTCATGGATTCCACCAGTTGTTGGCGACTATAAAGTTCATGTGAAGTTGGGTGGACGAGATGTGAAAGATTCTCCATTTCACGTGCAAGCACACGCAAAAGATGGTCACAAAAACGCTCATTTACAACTTGGATCCACGTCCGAGGTAGAATTCAAAGAAAGACAACTTGTCAACTGTCAACTAGTTGTCAATTCTTTAGATTTTACAAAAATTATAACTCTTTTAGAAAGCCGGTGAATTTGCGTTACCCCAGGTTTGTTTTTAAATGGGGTGTCGTGAAGATTTTGTCTTTTCAAAAATCAAATTTCAATTCACTAACAAAGAAAAGAGAGGATTTCGAATTGTTTACACGATATTTTTTTCAGATAGCTTTGAACATTTCGGAGTCAGAGTTGAGCGGAGTGACGGCAACGATTAAATCACCATCGGGACATGTGGAACCGTGCTTTGTGCGAGCGCTAGAGGGCGGAAGATTGGGTAAATTTGAAGTTTAATCTGGAGATATTCATAGAATCTTTATACATTCTTGCGTAGAAAATTCTTTTAATAGTAAAAAGGAATTGGCAAGATAAAGTTGATTCCCAGGATTGAATCCTCGACCTATTGCTTTTGATTTTGCTTTTGATCAATTGCTCTAATCATTGAGCTATTCGAAGGTGCCTTAACTTGTCAAGAAAAAGAGAAAGAAGAAAGAAAGAAAGAAATTCATTCTTACCTATTAAATTCAGGAGTCTCTTTCACTCCCCGTGAAGCCGGTGAGCATCTCATCAAAGTGTTCCGCGACGGGAAACCAATACCGAAAGGACCCTTCAAGATTAAAGTGTGGATTCAGAATTTTAGATTCAGCTTATAGATTCTTAGCTCTCACAATTTATGGAAATCTTTTCAGGTGGATAAAAGCCAAATCGGTGATGCGGCTAAGGTGGAGGTGAGAGGTGAGGGAAAACACAATGCGGTCACCAATCAAGACAACGAGATCCTCGTGGACACGAGTAAAGCTGGTGAGTTGATTGGAAACTGTTGTAGTGATCCAGAGTGATGAATGATTTTTGTGAAATCTAAAGTCTTTCAGGTTATGGTGGTCTCTCCGTCTCAGTGCAGGGTCCATCGAAAGCCGAGCTGAAATGCAAAGAGGTTAAACCGGGTCTAATCGCTGTCCACTATCGACCGACCGAAGCTGGAAAATACACAGTGAATATCAAATTCGCTGAGCAACACGTTAAAGGTAACTTTAGATTTTAAATCTACTGTAAGTCTCTTGCTTAGTACACTAGAAAAAGTATTCTATCTAATTAGCTAAATATCTAGATCAAAAATCTTACCATAAGCTGAATATCATTTTATCTTATTGTAATTTCTTTAACTCTAAAAGAAATAAACAAATCTCATTTCCAGAAAGCCCACTTTCTGTTGTTTGCACTGATCGAGTAAGTCAAACGGCTACGGAAATCGAGAGAGAAACAACAAAGGTAAAAAAAACCAATTTAAGACGTTAAAGCTTGACCTGGCTACCTTTTTATGGAAAGATTCGGTTACGGTAACTGGGCCAAGCTTTAAAGTCTTATCCCTTGTTCAGCCATCGATCGCTGCTGTGGGTCGTGAGGCGAACATTTACCTCAAACTGTCGCACACCGTTGAGAACGATATGGTAAGCTTAAAAGATATTCAGTCAAAACCTGAGATTAACATATCGCAGAGTGCTCGCTTGGTGAATCCACACGGTGAAGAGGTGCCTGTCTCAATTCACGATACCGGTGATCAATATTATGCTCTTCATTTCACCCCCAAATGACGAAGGAGTGCACACCTTGTCCGTTTTCCATCGAGATCAACACGTCAATGGGTCACCCTTCAACTTTACTGTTGGACATTTGGCTGATGGTGGAGCGCACAAGGTACGGTAGAAGCTAGAGTAAAAGTAAAAGGGTCAGTGTTTATTTTTAGAGTGTTTAGAATCATACAGTACTCTCGTAAACAATTGCGCCAGGCTACGTACTATATCCTACCGTACTTAAACTAAGCTACTTGTCAAGACAGACTTGATTCTAAATGATTTGTATAAAGAGATTTGTATAATGAATAACTGTTAGGTGAAAGCCTCTGGAATGGGAGTGGTGAGAGGAGAAGTTGGAGTGCCAAATGCTTTCAATATCTATACAAGAGAGGCTGGCGCTGGCAAGTTGTCTGTGAGTGTTGAAGGGCCAGCAAAGGCAAAGATGCACTTCAGTGATCATAAGGTAAAGGATTTGAGGCTAAAGACAAAAAGTTTGCTCTTTCAAATGTGAAGAAGATGTTTCAGGACGGGAATTGTCATGCCGAGTACACGGTGGGCGAGCCAGGCGAGTACTCTGTCGCGGTCAAGTTCAACGATGAGCACATTGCTGAATCGCCTTTCAAAGTGAGGGTTCTACAGGATTTAATGCTACAGTATAGACTACAATATACCAAAAGAAGTCACATGCTTTAATGCTAAACTTCAGGTATTCATGGTTCCATCTGGAGAGGGTCATCGACATGGTCTTTCCTCTTATCGTCACTCGGAACATCGAGTCAATGGAGAAGCGATCAATGGAGGAATTCAGTATTCAGAGAGATGCTGATAAGGTGAATATCCTACAGTAATCTCTGAAAATATGGTTCAGGTTGTGGCTAAGGGCACCGGGCTGAACAAGTTCACCCCAGGGGTCGCCTCGTCGTTCAACATTGATACGGGGCTGGCTGGTAAGTTGAAGGGCTTAAACAAAGAATAGAGTATTGTAGGGCATACTGTAGCTGTCTGTGATCTCTTTCTAAAACTAATTTCAGGGACAAATCTGCTGATGGTCGGTGTTGTGACATCAAAGGGACCATGCGAGGAGGTGGTCGTCAAACACATGGGAGCTGGGCATTATGTGGTGAGTTGATAAAAGAATAGAATAGCAGGGAGTACTGTAATGGTCCAATATAGTACTGCAGTCGATCAAGACTACTGTAATCTAGAGGGTACTGTAATCTAGAGGGTACTGTAATGGCCAGTTGGAGTACTGTAATAGTCAAATTGAACTACAGCAAGAGCTACAGTAAGCTGAAAATTCTACTGGGTATCTTAGTTTGGATACTTCAGTAATCTTTACTTGTTATCTTTACTTTACTTGTTCTTTACTATCTTTACTTGTTTGCAAGCCTATTCCTAAATATTACAGTACTCTACCAGACTCTAATTACAGTAAGCTTACAGTAAGCTTACAGTAGTCCTGCGTATCTCTTAGTTTCTTAAGTTGAAGCGTATTTTACTGTACCTTCCAGGTCAACTACAAGATTCACGACAGTGTGCGTGGCTTCATCTTCGTCAAGTACGGCGATCGAGAAATCCCGGGATCGCCTTTCCCCATTGGACCTTTATAATTGAATAAACACAGATAGCCTAGTAGTTTAAATCATTGTCTCTCACTTTTGCGACCCTGTTTCAATTCTTTTCAATTCAATTCTTCACATCTTTTCCTCATTCTACGGATTTTCAATCCACGTCATTGAAGTCCAGAAAGAAATTTTGACAACGAATAAATTTATCTGCCAACTTGCCTTACTTTTTCTTCGACTTTATGCTTTACCACTGAAATTTTTCGTTTTTTTTTCCCCGTAAAATTTATCTCAGTGCACCCCCATTGCCATAGGCCCCCGGATGAACAAAAAAATGGGCCCGATTTTAAAATTTTTAAAAAAATCTATACTTTTACACACTTCTGATAGTCCATTCGCTTGAATTTTTTTTTAAGTTTTTGTAAATTTGTGCAATTGATAATAAATATTTATTGATATTCAGAGAAAAGCAAAAGATTAGGTATTTGTTTTTCGTTTAAAACGACGGGGGTGGGACAAATGCGACCTTTTATACGACAAATACGCAACTTAACGCTTTTCCGCAGTTTTTGCCTTTTAGCCCAAATTTGACCTGCCAGCGAGGTCTGATTTGTCGAAATTCGGAATCTACGCATACGATTCGATTCCCTTCTATGAAAACATTTTTGAAGCTCTACGACCTTTCCTAAGGCCTTTTCCAGCAAAAAAAAAGGTCGCATTTGTCCCACCCCCAAAACGACACTTTTTGTAAATTGTGTAACTTAAAATCTATATTTATTCTTAAATATGTTGACAGCAACAAAGTACAGTGCTTTTTAGCTGAATATCTTTTTCCTTGTTACAAATGTTTATATAAAAACATGATTTTTGCGTTTTTGACTTGCAAAATTTCAAAAGACCGGCCTCTAAAGTCGTTAAATGCCGGCGTGTGTACTCTTTTTTGTTTATTGCACTTGTTTACCGTGGTCTTTCGCAAATTTTCCTCAAAATCGATGGGCTATGTTTAGAAGTGAACACAAATGGCTGAACAAAGCGACAGTGAGGGGTGAATGGATCAATCAAGATGACAATGATGATGCATCACCAGAAGAAACGGAAAACGAGCGAGAAGATGATGAGGCAATAGAGTAAGGTTTTTGCGTTAAAAATAGACTTGCCAATGTTTTTTTGATACTAGGAACTCTTACATTTGAGCTCTGCGAAAAAGCGCTAAGAAATTGGCCTTTATATACTTGGTTAAACGGTTTAGCAAGCCGTTTTGGGTCGTTTATATTGTAAAAAAAGTATTTCATTTTTCTTTTTAGGAATGGTTTCCAGCTTGGGAATGAGCCCGAGGCTATTCCGATTTTACCGCCCGCCATTGCGGTTCACCGAGCACGTGTAAACGTTGTGAGCTTTACAAATTTGCTTTAGTTGATATAAAATAAATTCACGTATTTATCAATTTTATCATTTTAGGCAGCTCACCTGCGAGAACGATTCGCCGATCGAGGTCGTGGAGCTTTGGTTGGTCGAGGTAAAGAATTCTTTTTAATAGACAAAGATATATTTTTTCTAGAGTCTTCAAGCTCGTCATCTAGTTCAGATGGAGAAAGCTCGGAACATGAACCGCAACACATAAATGTTAAGGTGAGCTTATTTCAAGAAAACGTTTCAAATGAGTCATGTTTGATCAAAGCTTTGTTTTTAGGATGCCATAAACCATGAGTATTTGTTTACACGTCGAACTCGTCGCCGAGAAGGTCAAGTTGGTGAAGTGGGTATACAAATTGGTTAACTTTTGTGGAATTAGAAGCAATTTTCGAACAGCATATTCGAAAACCCCCAGAAAAGTGGTTTTCGAAAATTTATTGTGAGCGGGGTAAAATACAATCTTACCAAAAGCTGATTTCCTTAAGGTCCTTGATCTCGCGATGCCTTCCGAGACGATTGTTGCTGAAATGATAATGGAATTGCCAATGTTGCGGATCAGCCAAGATTGCTTTCCGATGCCAAGTAAGTTTGGATGCAGTTCAAAAAATCGAAAGCCGAGTAACGAGTAGATTTACTTAACATCTGCTTTTTCAGATCAACGCATCCCGTTGTTGCTTTATCATCCGAATGACAGTGGCCACTGCTAAATTTGCCGTCGCTCATCATTCCTATCTGGCTGCTTTCCCGGAGAAACTTTTGTTTGTCTTTGAAATTGAATCTTGATAGTGAATCCAAATCCAGTGGGTATGACCCGAGAGTGTCCACGCCGATCGACGTTGGTGTGCTTTTGCAGGTTATTTATTCCACACAAAACTACAGAATTTAGCAGGTTTTGCTAGAAAGGCTTTTTTGTTATATTAATTTGTTCACAATTACTGATGTTATCTATTGATGCCAAATTTAGATAGCACGCTCGTGTGATGGCGGTCAACGAGGCTTTCGTGTTTACGCAATCGGGTCGCAATCGTATTAAGCTTTTGGAAACGATTCGGAATATCGATAGGTTTATTTTAATGCTGACAATTCTAAAGTTTAATTTAGCTCTCTATCAGCCCGTGTGCAAATACTGGCAGAAAATCTCTTGCCTCCACTTCAGTTTTCCTTAGTACCAAATAAAGCACGATCTCAAGTAAAAGTTCAGGTAAGTAGTTCGAGGTTAATGAGGTTACATCTTTTGTTTTAGCAACGAAAAATTGCTGAGAAATTGTATAATATTCCACGATGCACATCGATTACACCCCTATGTAAATTTTTTTTTTCTTTAAATCAAAAATCCGAACACTACAAATTTTAAGTTAGGCCCAAAAATAAACGGAAAAATAAAATAATCCGAAAAGCATCATCCAAAATTTCAGAATTAAAGGCAGCGACTTTGATGTTAGTGAAATTTCATATTTCATCGAACCATAAAGTGTTATATGTCATTCAATAGCTCTTTTCACGCTCTTTCAGAATGCTGAATTGAGTTTTTGTGGAATTCTATTTTTCCATGAAATTTTTTCCATATTCTGCGCAGAAAAGTCAAAATAATTTTTTTCACGAAAATCTAGCTGATAAACTAGGCTCAAAAAGCAAATTTCTGAATTCTACGCAAAAAGTTGGTCGGGAATTGTTTTTTAATTTGGTGTTTTGGTCAATGGAAACGCGAGCTCTGAAACCTAGGTTTTTTAGAAGGGCGCGGTTATATGGCCCGCGCGCACCTTTGATGTTGGTAAAATTTTTCTTTTGTGTCAAATCATCAAGTGTTATATATCATTCGAAAGCATTTTTATGTGTTTAAACATGGCAAAAAGAATTTCCCAAAAACTTTGACTTTTTATTAGTTTTCTCCGATTTTATAATCTGGAGTGCAGTTTTTTCTGCTTCTGCGGTACTTGCAGATCTGGTATAGTCTAGAAAAATTTATTCTAAGAAAAGTAAAGAATTTTTTTTGAAGAAAGAGTTACAATTCCAGGAAAGTTGAAATTGAGAGTATTTGTCAATTTCAGGTAGGCAACCCAGGTGCACAGACAAATACAGACTGCCTTGACAATTACTCGATAAATTACTATGCCGAGGCATGACAGATGATAAAGTTATAAATGTCAATCGCAGGAGAAAATCATTTAGTTACAGACAAATTTGCTTTCCGATTATTTATTTTTTGATTATTAGCGTATTATTATTTTTCTTATTACATTCGTATTTCCAAGAAACAAAACAAAAGTTATAATTTTCAAAACAAATTTTATAATTTGCAGATGGGACGAACATCAGAAGCCAAAAAGTCTAGAAGTGGCAACTTGGAACATGGACGCCAAACGAATCAAAACAACATGCACGGATTACGAAGTGGGGAAAGTTCCTGCAAATCCTGTGCAATAAAAAGAAGAAAGCTCATCACGATCCGCAGACAATCAAGAAAAAGAATTCAACAGAAAAGCACATTTGAAAGGAGCACTGGAGGCAAGGATTCCGAAAGATAATGAAAAGAAAAGAGCCGAGCAAAATCGTCAAAAGATGATGATTCTGTTGCTTCAACCTCACATATTCAAACCAAATCACCGACTCCTCCAACTCTAGAAGCTCTGCTCGGTATGAAAAAGTGCCAATCTATCAAATAAAGGACTATTATCTGTAAACCATTTTCTTCAATCAAACCAAGGAGTAACCATTGGCTCACAACGAACTATCGAAAAGGCCAAGAAGAATCTGGACCAGTTTTTCAAGTATGAAATAGTTCTCAATGAAGGAGGAAGATTAGAAGCTGTGTTGAAAGCTGTTGAAAAGCGGCGAAGAAGATTGGATCTGCTGGATGAACGAGGAAAACGGCTGATTTTTTCCCTCAATAAAGGACACGGCCGAGTTATTTCAACTATTTCATTCCTAATCTGCGAAAAACCGTGCTTGTATCGCAATTGTCTGCCATTACAAGCTTGGGAAGATTCAGATTCTTACAACTCGCTGAAGGAAAAGGGAATTTGGAAAGACTTTGAGACTTTGGTGCAAGCCGGATATATGGTTTTTCTCGGTGGAGATCTATCTTTCTTGAACACCAATTTTGGTCTTTCCTGTGCGATGACGTTTGGATGTTTATGGTGCAACAAGAGCTTTGACAAAAAACCATCCGCTGATAAGGATTCAATTGATTTTTAATAATATGCTAATTGGAGTGACCCTTCGGTGGAAGCGATGATTTCAAAAGTAAAAGGTCTGCAGGCAAAAAAAGAAAATCTATTAAATGTTTCTCGAAGTTTGGTAATTCCCCCAATACTTCATGCAAAAATCAAGATTGGAAACCAACTTTTTGAACAATTGGTGAAACTCGAAGGCTCGAAAATGGAAGTTGGATGTGAATCGGAAGAGTGATGGGATTATCTATGCTCGTTTCAACGAAAACGATATAAAGAATCTCTGTCGATCCTCAGTGATTTCTGATTTAGCAGTCGCTTCTTCCTCCCGTTCCTATCAAATGGTCATTTCTGCATTACGCGAGTTTAACAAATGGTCTCAAATGGTTTCAACCACTAAAAGTGTTCTTTCGGATAAAGAAATAAAAGATTTGGCTTGCAAAGGCAAACATTCAAAAGCCAGAAATTGCTGCCAAACAGCGATTCTTTGCGATGAACTAGAAAAAGTTGGTGGTTTTGGACAAAGTGTACTGGTTCATGCTCTACTCTTACATCTTGGCCCATTTGTCCATGACATCAATTCATCGGAAATGCATCCGAAGAGGGCATTGAGGCAGTTCACAGCAAGCTAGAATCTGAATTTGCTCGAAACAAGACAGGACCACAAGAAGAGCGACTAATGAACTCGCTCAAGTGGCTCGGTTATGTTGTTCTCCTCAATGATGATGGAAAAGATGACATCTTAATTTCCCTCCTTTTTGCTTAAATTGGATTCAATCAACTGTTCAATTTGGATCTTTTTTTTTACTCTAATTTATGCTTGTAAATAGAATAAATTTTTCATTTTTTTCGATTTAACATTATTTTTTTTTACCAGATCTGCAAGTACCAAGCCAGAAAAAAACGCACTCAGATTATAAAATCGAAAAAAACTAATAAAAAGTCAAAGTTTTTGGGCAATGCCATGTTTAAACACATAAAAATGCTTTCGAATGATATATAACATGGATGATTTGCACAAAGAAAAATTTTACCAACATCAAAGGGACTATAACCGCGCCCTTCTAAAAACCTAGGTTTCAGAGCTCCGTTTCCATTGACCAAAAACACCAAATTAAAAAACAATTCCCCACCCTTTTGCGTAGAATTGACTCTTGAGCCTAGTTTATCAGCTAGATTTTCGTGAAAAAATTATTTTGACTTCGCAGAATATGAAAAAAATTTCATGGAAAAATAGAATTCCACAAAAACTCAATTCAGCATTCTGAAAAAACGTAAAGAGCCATTGAATGACATATAACACTTTATGGTTCGATGAAATATGAAATTTCACTAACATCAAAGTCGCCTTTAATTCTGAAATTTTGATTATGCTTTTCGATTATTTTTTTTTCCTTAATTTGATTTGTTCGGATTTTGATTTAAAGAATACGATTTTTTTGTAACCTATGTGCGATGGGTTATCTCGACATTTTCAACGGTAAGCTGTATTTAGCTTTGTTTAAAAACAAAATCGTTTTTAGGAAAAAAGGCTCGAACTCTACTAAATTTCATGTGTAGCTGGTCGTAGTCGCCCGAAACAAAAGTCAAACTTGAAGGAAACTTACAACAAGGTTGCTTTGTGCAACTTTTCCTAGCAAATTTCCCATTGATTTAGGGTCTGACAGAACTTTCATTTTCCTTGCCGCCAATATCCCCGTTGAGATTGACACCAAGTTGGCTCTATTACAGGAAAATTCTGTAGACCGCCGAATCGACATGATGGTTGAAAAGCTTTTCAAGGTCATTTTTTAGGCAACTAAATTTTGTAAAGGTTAATTTAGAAAATGGACATTGCCTGTGTACGGTGCCACACAACCATTACTTGAGCCGAAGACATTTTCTCGGTGACCGCTGAAGGAAACAGTCGACACTTTGTGAACAATTGCTAGCGATATTTGAGTTGTTTTTAAATATATGTTTAGATGGTTTTGTTCATGAAATCATCACCACCACCGAAGCGCAACATTATACTTTCCGTGGCCCACCAGACGCCTCATTTTCTTGGTTCGAGGGGTAAATTGCTAGTGTATGCTACGTGATGTCTTGCTTAGATATAAATATAAGATCATTGAGTGCACAATAATGTCTCGACCATCTCGGATGGGAGTATACATCGAAAAAAGTTAGTTGTTTTATTGCTTTTGTTTCATGATTCACTTTTAGATATGAACCAAAATCATTCTTTGGTTTGACTCGACGCAGTGTTGCTCTTCGTGAAGGAAGACGATCAACCAATTTCAACGGAAGAACAATTATCTCTCGTCCCAGACGATGTTTTGAACTGATGGTTTGAATTCTTGTGTAATTATAAGATGTGATCTGTGTACATGGTGGTATTTTAGTTGTTAAGTTTTCGATAAACTTTTGGTTATCCTGAAAAATACACATTTATCCGACATAAGAAAAATACACATTTATCAAAAAAAAAAGAATTTCTGGTAAAAATGGCTTAAAATTTTAAAAAGAGAACAAACAGGTGAAAAAATCTTCAG